AAAAAAAAAAAAAAAAAAAAAAGAATAATAAAAGCAGAAAACGCAAAATTTTGAAAAACCTTGTCACACTTCAAAGTCATGTGGCACATTAAAAAATAGTTTATCCTGCTTCACCCTGGAGTGGTGAATTTCATGGAACCGGGGCAAACCCAGAATCTGTGTTTTCAAAAACTGCCCAGGTTGGTGGGGCACAGTGGCTCACCCCTATAATCCCAGCACTTTGGGAGGCTGAGGCAGACAGATCACGAGGTCAAGAGATGGAGACCATCTTGGTTAACACAGTGAAATCCCATCTCTACAAAAAATAAAAAAATTAGTTTGACATGGTGGCACACGCCTGTAGTTCTAGGTACTTGGGAGGCTGAGGTGGGAGAATTGCTTGAATCCGGGAGATGGAGGTTACAGTGAGCCAAGATCACTTCACTGCACTCCAGCCTGCACAACAGAGCAAGACTCCATCTCAAAAAAAAAAAAAAAAAAACACCCAGGTGATTCCCAAATTGCTGCAACAAAGACCCAATCTGGGGAAGTAGTGATCTAAATGCTTATCTATATTTTGTATGTTTGTTTTTTTCAAAATTAATGTAAACAATATGAGGTTGGGCACGGTGGCTCACGCCTGTAATCACAGCACTTTGTGAAGCTGAGGTGGGTGGATCGTTTGAGCTCAGAAGTTTGAAGCCAGCCTGGGCAACATAGTGAAACCCTGTCTCTACCAAAAATTCAAAAATTAGCTGGGCACAGTGGCGCACGCCTATAGTCGCAGCTACTCCAGAGGCTGAGGCAGGAGAATCCATTGAGCCTGGGAGGTGGAGGTTGCAGTAAGCTGAGATGAAGCCACTGTACTCCAGCCTTGGTGATAGGAGTGAAAGACTGTCTAAAAAAAAAAAAAAAAAAAAAAAAGGAATGTTTGTTTGATGAATTTGCCTGTCATCTTTGTGCAGGGACTGTGTTAATCTCCTTTGTTACTTTTCCAATTTTAGTATATATGCTGCCAAAGCAGGCACTTTGTTTTTAAATGGTGTTTGGAAGTGATAGTTTTGATTTTTTTTTTTTTTTTTTGAGGCGGAGTTTCACTCTATTGCTCTGGAGTGCAATGGCACCATCTCAGCCCACTGCAACCTCCATCTCCCGGATTCAAGCCATTCTCCAGCCTCAGCCTCCCAGTAGCTGGGATTACAGGAGCCCACTACCATGCCCAGTTAATTTTTGTATTTTTAGTAGAGACGGATTTCACCATGTTGGCCAGTCTGCTCTCAAATTCCTGACTGCAGGTGATACACCCGCCTCTGCCTCCCGAAGTGTTGGGATTACAGACGTGAGCCACTGCCCCCAGCTAATTTTAAAAAATTTTAAGTAATGGAGGCCAGGCGTGATGGCTCACACCTGTAATCCCAGCACTCTGGGAGGCTGGGGTAGGAGGATTACTTGAGAATCAGGAAGTGGAGGTTGCAGTGAGCCATGATTACATCACTGCACTTCAGCCTGAGCAACAGGGCGAGATCCTGTCTCAAAATAAAATAAAATAATACATCGGGCATGGTGGCTCATGCCTGTAATCTCAGCACTTTGGGAGTCCGAGGCGGGTGGATTACCTGAGTTCAGGAGTTTGAGACCAGCCTGGCCAACATGGTGAAACCTGGTCTCTACTAAAAATACAAAAATGAGTCAGGCGTGGTGGTGGGTGCCTGTAATCCCAGCTACTCAGGAGGCTGAGGCAGAAGAATTGCTTGAACCTGGGAGGCGGAGGTTGCAGTGAGCCTAGATCATGCTGCACTCCAGCCTGGGCAACAGAGCGAAACTTCATCTAAAAATAAATAAAATAAAATAATGTTAAGTAATGCTTTGCATTTCTGGAAGACATTCCTTTTTTTTTTTTTTATTTTTTTTTTTTTTTTGAGACGGAGTTTCACTCATGTTACCCAGGCTGGAGTGCAATGGCGCAATCTCGGCTCACCGCAATCTCTGCCTCCTGGGTTCAGGCAATTCTCCTGCCTCAGCCTCCTGAGTAGCTGGGATTACAGGCACGCACCACCATGCCCAGCTAATTTTTTGTATTTTTAGTAGAGACGGGGTTTCACCATGTTGACCAGGATGGTCTCGATCTCTTGACCTCGTGATCCACCCGCCTTGGCCTCCCAAAGTGCTGGGATTACAGGCTTGAGCCACCGCGCCCGGCCTCTTGAAGACATTCCTTTTCTCCTTCCTCCCCACCCACAGTGGGCTTCAACTCACTGGGCTCCTTTCAGTCCTTCCCTAACCTACTGTGCTATTCTTACAGTACCCAAATTTCTCTTCTGGCCTTTGTGATTCCTGGCTTTCTCCTCTCTTCTCTGGCAACATACTTTAGGCTTTCTTTTGTGAATGACAATTGGCAAGACTTTCTTCCTTTACTATCTTTCAAAGCAAGCACTGTTGCCGCGTAAGATGTCCTAGAAACTCCAGGAAAGGGTCCCAGGGCCATGTTTACTACTCCCATAATTGGCGTCTGGGTGCTGGATCCTCAAGTCTGCATCTCTCACCATTTCTCTGAGAGGCTTTCCAGATCCCCACATGTCAACTGCCTACTAAGCATTTATTCTTATTCTTGGGTGTCCCACAAAGCACCTCAAATTCAGTATTTCTCAGATATTAGGTTCCTGTCCATGTTTGCCCTCTGTGCCTCATAGCTTAGAGAATAGCGCCACCCAGTTACTCAAGCCAGAAACCTGGGGCTGCCCTAGTCATTCATCCAGAGCCACTGTGCTAAACACTGGGGATACCAGAGACTACGAACCAAGAATCCCTGCCCCCATTGAGCTTATGTTCTAGAGGAGGAAGATAGACATAAGCCCGCCCGCCCACCCTTTCTTCCTTCCTCCCCTCTTTCCCTCCCTCCCTCCTTCCTTCCCTCCCTCCCTCCCTTCCTTCCCTTCCTTTCCTTCCTTCCTTCTGATACAGTCTCAACCTCCTCCAACTCTCGGGTTAAAACAATTTTCCTGCCTCAGCCTCTAACTGCCACCCACCCAACTAATTTTTTTGTATTTTTAGTAGAGCCAGAGTTTCACCAGGCTGGTCTCAAAACTCCTGCCCTCAGATGATCTGCTCACCTCAGTCTCCCAAAGGCATGAGCCACTGCACTGGGCATGCAATGTAATCATTCTAAAGCCAGATCTTAACTGTTAGCCTCCAATTTTAGGCTCCTCATGTTTACAGGATAAAGTCCACCCTTGCAAACCCGGGTTAAAAGATTGTACAAGTTCTGGGCCCTGCTGGCCTCTCCACTGCACGGCCCCACCCCAGGCAGTGCTCTCTGTGCAGCCCTACTGAGTTATAGCTGCAGTTCACTGCAGCTGCCGTTCTCCAACTCCCTCCTGCCCTCCTGTCATTCTGCAGGTCTCAGCTTGGATACTGTGACAGGCAGCCTCTAGAATGGCCCCCAGTGACCCCTGCCTCCTAGTAATCTGTTTCCCTTGAGTGAGCTGGATTTACTGATGCAATTTTGAATAATAGAACCTTGCAGAAGGGATGGGACGTCACTTCTGAGATTAGGTTATATAAAGACTGTCCCTTCTTTCTAAAGGCTCTTTCTCACTTGGATGCTCTGCAGAAAGTCAGCTGCCATGTCATGAACTGCCCTGTGAGAAGGGCCTGTAAAGAGGGAAAGAGGGAGGCCTCTAGACAACAGCCTTCAAGGAACTGAATCCTGCTGGTGACCAAGTGAGGGAGCTTGGACTCTGGTCCCCCACTGTTGAGCCTTCAGATGAGATGGCAGCCCCAGCTGGTGGCACAACTGCAACCTCATGAAAACACCTTCACCAGAAAGCACCCAGCTAAGCCACACCCATATTTCTGACCCAAAGAAACTGTGAGATAATAAACATTTCTTCTCTTAAGCTGCTATACTTTAAGCTAATCCGTTACACTGCAATAGATAACAAATACTACCCCTGGATCCTGCCTGCCACCATCCCAAATGCCCTGAGTTCTAGAGCCAATGGTGTTTCCACGTGTCATTCCCAGCCCTTTGCTGTTAGTATTATAATGACGGCTTGTCCATACCTCTGCCCCTACATGGCAGGCTCTGTAGGGGAAAGAAGGAAGAAAAAGGGGGAAGTCACCACTTTCTTTCTCAAGACCCTGAGTCTCTATTCTGCTGTTGGCCATACGTTTACACCCATAGTGTTAACAGTGCCTGGCCCCAAAGTGCAGCTGCAGCTTCAGAAAGAGGCTCAGGTCAGCCAGAGCCAGAGCTCTATGGCAGCCACCTTCCTCCAGCTCCCTCCATCTCTTCGGTCTGCTCAGCCAGCTCCCCCCACCCTTGAGCACCCCAGCAAGCACGCACACACAGGCACACACAGGCATGCACACACACAGACACCAGGCCCACAGCCTCCCTCTGCTCCAGAGGAGCTGGGTGGAGTCACTCCTTGCTTCTTTCACACACACCCTGGGGCCACGATTTTGTGGCTTTTCTGAATGAAAGGGGGTAGGGTGGGTGGGGTGGGGGTGGGGGAAACCGTCCCTGCCTTTGAACTGTCCAGTTCCTCCACCTTTATTTCCAGCCAACCACTGAGTGTCTACAAAAACAAAACAAACCAAAACAACTAAAAACAGAGCCCAAGTGTCTCTTGCTGCTTTCAGTTTCTGGAGAGCCAGCACACAGGTCACCCACTATCCCTGCCCAAACCCTGAGGTCTGAGGAAGACCTCCTCACACTGCCCCTGGGTGCTGCGTCTGGCTTCCAGGAGGTGCACCCACCCCCACTGGCACCTCCCTGGGAACCAGTGGAGCTCAGTCCTGTGGTTCTGGTTCACTCTCCTCTCCCTCGGTACACCATTGCACCATGTCCCCATGCTGGCCCATCTGTTACCCTGTACTTACTGTACACACACGGTGGCCAGGGTCCTCACCACCAGGAAAGCAACTTCCCCCATGTCCTCCCCAACTCCTGAGTCCAAGCCGACAAGTCTGCGGTGCCCCAGCAGGGGGAATGAATGAGACTGAATGTACCTCTGTTGAGGGAAAACAAAGCTCACTAAGATTGCACCCTATGGTGTGTGCTTCTGTTCTCTGCACCTACTCGTCAGCACTCTCAGCAGTTTTCCTCTTGGCTCTGCCTCCTGCAATTACCTTCTGCTCAGCTGCTCGCCTTTGCTAAGAAGGGTTATGCCCATCAACTGTGCTGTAGACATGCAGTAGTGTGACAATGGGAAGGACATGGCTTGGAGGGTGGCTTTCATTTGAATTCTGCTATTTATATTTGGCCCTGGGTGTGTTAGCTGATCATCCTATGCTTTGTCCCCTGTATCTGCTAATAGACCGCTTCCCAGGGTTATGCTGAGATAAATAAAACCACACACATTACACTGCATGGTATGTACTAGATGTTCAGTAAAAAAAATCTTTTTTTTTTTTTTTTTTTTTTGAGACCAAGTCTCACTCTGTCTCCCAGGCTGGAGTGCAATGGTGGTGTGATCCTAGCTCACTGCAACCTCCGCCTCCTGGGTTCAAGTGAATCTCCTGCCTCAGCCTCTTGAGTAGCTGGAATTACAGGCACATGCCACCACGCCTGGCTAATTTTTGTGTTTTTGGTAGAGACAAAGTTTCACTATATTGACCAGGCTGGTCTCAAGCCCCTGACCTCAGGTGATCCGCCCACCTTGGCCTCCCAAAGTGCTGAAATAACAGGTGTGAGCCACCACGCCCAGCCAAATGTTTCTTGTTTTGTATTTTAGAAGGACTTTAAGGCCAGGCATGGTGGCTCACGCCTGTAATACCAAACCTTTGGGAGGCTGAGGCAGGAGGATTGCTTGAAGCTAGGAGTTTGAGACCAGCCTGGGCAACACAGCAAGACCCTGACTCAACAAAACTCTTTTTTTTTTTGTTTTTGTTTTGAGACAGAGTTTCATTCTTGTTGCCCAGGCTGCAGTGCAATTGCTCGATCTTGACTCACTGCAACCTCCGCCTCCCGGGTTCAAGCAATTCTCCTGCCTCGGCCTCCCGAGTAGCTGGGATTACACC